TATGTATGTGTGTGTGTGTATTTATCTATATATAGATAGTGTGACTGGGACAGCAAAAGAGATGAAAAAGGAGAGACGGAGATTTAGAGAGAGAAATGATGGCACCAATCGAAACAGATAAGATTTTATAGAACATAATAAAAGCATAAGCGGTGAGAGTTTCAAGGAGACTGGGGTAAATGAAATACCAAGGCAACGACTTTACTTCGTACAAGCAAATTATAAAAAGTCATGTCTGAATCAAATCATCTCGTGAGAAACTGACTATTCGTTACAATATATGCATAAATTAAATCTTTTACTGTTGAAGGTCAAGAAATTGGCTCGCCTCCAATATGAACGTTTTTCCGGGCCGCTTCAGAAGTTAAAGTAAATATTATTTTTTACCAGAAGATTACTAACATTTATTTTTAGAGGTCCTACTTAAATTATAGAGGCTGCAATCGGCATATGGCTTGCAGACAAATATTTTTTGACATCGCTGATAGTAAACTATTAGTTTTGGCACAAATATATGTATTTATATATGCATGTATATATGTATCTATCTTTCTGTGTTCTTTGTTTGGTCGCCATTATAGCATTTGAATTCGGCAAAGCAAAAACGCGGACAGACTGAATAACATTGTTTATACTTTCAACTTTGCTCAGATAAATTAATCTTCAGATTTCGTCGGCAATCAGAGTAATAGTCATTACCCATTAGAGAAGTAAAACTAACCCAACCCAACTTCAGTATGAAAGAAAAACATAATAAAATATATTTATTTACATTGGGACTAAACTACTTATCTTAGATATTGTTATCAGGAGGTTTCAGTCGTTTTTTAAGGCCTTCTTTATGGATCTTTCGCTCTGGGTAAACTTTATGAAATTTAAAATCTATTATACATTATTGTTCATCAAATAAAAGTCAATGAGCCAATCAATGTAGAGGGTTTACTGAATGACGTTGAATGTAATAAAAGAAAGTAAAATGATGCAGGTTAAGTAGGATAGACAACAGTTGACCTTAGATTTTAAGTGGTTTCAAATGGCGTGCTCGGAGATATCGGGTATACGGGTTGATAGCAACTATTATGGTCCCACCAATGGGCAAACAGTAAACTCACAAACAAAAACAAATGATTATGTAAGTATAAAAATACATTTTATAGTAACTATACCAGCAACTCATTTTACATAAAAAATACTTACAATATGTATTTACAGTAAAAATTACCAACTATTTATAAGAGAATTACCAACAATGTCTATTTATAGCAGAATTACCAACAATACCTATTTATAGCAAAATTAGCGACACACCTATTTATAGCAAAATTGGTAAAAGTAACCATTTATAGCAGAATTACCAACAATACCTGTTTTATAGCAGAATTATCAACAGTATCTATCTATATTAGAATGATCAACAAAATCTATTATATCAGAATTAGCAACAGTATCTATTTATAACAGAATTAGCAGCAGTATCTATTTATAGCAGAATTAACAACAGTATCTATTTATAGCAGAATTAGCAACACATCTATTTATAGCAGAATTAGCAACACACCTATTTATAGCAAAATTGGCAACACACCTATTTATGACACAATTACCAACTGTATATATTTATAGCAGAATTAGCAACACACTTGTTCTTAGCACAATTACCAACAGAATCTATTTATATCAGAATTAGCAACAGTATCTATTTATAGCAGAATTACCAACAGTATCTATTTATAGCAGAATTAGAAACACACCTATTTATAGCAAAATTAGAAACACTTATTTATGGCACAATTATCAACTGTATATATTTATAGCAGAATTAGCAACGCACTTATTCATAGCAAAATTACCAACAGAATCTATTTATAGCAGAATTAGAAACACACCTATTTATAGCAGAATTAGCAACACACCTATTTTTGGCCCAATTACCAACTGTATATATTTATAGCAGAATTAGCAACACACTTATTCATAGCAGAATTACCAACAGAATCTATTTATAGCAGAATTAGCAACTGTATCTATTTAAAGCAGAATTAGCAACGATACCTATTTATATCAGAATTACCAACAGCAAATATTTATAGCAGAATTACCAAAGTATATTTTATCTGTAATTGAAGCCATAAGAGTGCGTTCAAAATATTTAGATTTCGATATTAAATAACCCATACTGGAGTTGATATGCTGATATACAAAATTAACCAATCAATCAATCTCGAATGTCATTTGCACAATGTAACAGTTCTTGGGGAGAAGCTGTCCAAGTGAAAATATCTTCGTTCACAACTAAGGAACACCACAGAATGCAGTCGCCAGTCTACATCGCGTTGATTGGTAGGTCGATCAGTAGCGCAGATGAATTGGGCTGTTGTTTGCTTCGTTGTTCCGCTACGATTATCTTGCATCCGGTTCTCAGGAAGAAGCTGTCTGAGTGAAATTTTCTTCTTATCAAGGGAATACAAAGGTAGCGAGGATGAATCGTCCTTGCATATATTTTATGTTGGGTCTTAGTTGTAAAAGTCTGGCCTGGTAGAATTCAGGAGTGAAATTCGCCTGAATATTGTTCATGGAAGTTGCAGTAGATCAGCAAGAGGGTTGCGGCGTTTCATCTGTGGGAAAGTCGTAGAACTGAACACTTTACTTAATTTTCGAGATAGATTGATTTTGTTCTCTTGTACATGTCACAGGATACCTTGTCAGTTTTAGGACTGCCCAGTTATTGTTAGCCCTATTTTCACTGAGTCTAAGTTTGTATCATCCCGGGCCAGTGATGGAACTCACAATAACGATGTCCCAGAATTGACGAATTTATTCTACAGGGTGATTGAAAAGTAACTCCTTATTTTATGTATCATGGACTCTTGTTACCTCCTGCTTTGAATCTATTGAATTTAAAACAGTGTTACCTCAGATAACTGCCAATAGTCACCTGTGGTAACGATCATTGAAGACACATGTGGTAACGATCAATGAAGACACATGTGGCAACGGTCATTGAGGACACATATTCGACTGCAATACGGTGGGCGTAAGAACTTCCACCAGTTACTTCCAGTAAATCCGCCCACTCTTAGATCGATGGGTGACAAATGCATACACACTTTCTGAAACAGAATGCCTAATTTCTCTGGCCCGTACCATCAGCGAAGTTAAGCAAGATTGAACCTCATCAGACCTAGATGGGTGACCGTTTGTTAATACCAGGGACTGTCAGCTTGGATGTGCGATCGGGGCAATGGAAAAAGATTTGAATTGTTAATCGGATAGCCGAGTGTCAATTTCAGTTGGGTTCGTGACATTCACTTACGCGCAAATGACCCTGGAAAAAGGTATGGATCCACCTCTTCTCTCCCCAGCTATGGATTAATTAGTATGATTTGTATAACTAAATCATTATTATTATCTCCAAAAGAAAAGGAATTCTTACAATCTAAAAATGATTTCTGGCTTTAAGTAACCTGCAAATGGTTGATAAGCCGTAAAAATCAATCAATCATTTCTTTGGCGCAGAATATCTTGCTCATTCCAAAAATCGCTAATAAGCATCACTGTGCAGGTGGTAACACTGACAGACCGAATGTCAGAACACAATTGATATAAGTCTGAGCAGTTCCATGACATCAAGGTACATTAGAGCCGCATAATATTCCCTTTACGGGTAACCCATGACCTTTAACAAGTCAGTATGTCTCGTGCCATCGGATTAGTTATTTCCATTGGACTTAATGTAGTAAGGTCAATTCTGTCCCCAGTCGCTTCAGACAATGACGAAGAAATATGGCAATTTGTATATGTCCCCCATGTACTGAAGTGTTTTGGGTTCGATAATAAATAAAACACGACGCCAAATCCTGTTTACGTTGCTCGACGCATAAATAAAATTTTATATGTGCCGTCCTCATTTCTGATATGTTTGCGATGTTCGAGTTAGGGTAACATTCAGCATTTTAAATGTCTTTTTTTTTCAGAGCAGATAACCACAAATGTATGGGCGACATAACCTGGCCGTTGTACATCAAATATCAAATACCAACTGATAAAGTCTTCCATAACGTCAAGGTACGATGGCGCCAACTACCCTTAACTTTGCGTACTACAATCCTATGATTTTTGTTACATCAGTATATATAACTAAGTATGTGTGTATCCATCTTCGTATGATTTAGGTATATATGTAGGCTACATAGCTACACACTCACAGACACATACACACGTATATATATATATATATATATATATATTTGGTTGGATAGATCTATCCCATCTATCCAACCAAATATGTTAGCTCTATATCTGATATTGAGCGCTTTCTAATAAGTACTATGCATATAATATATAAATAATTATACATATATATATTTATTTATATTTATATACACTTTTCATATATATATATATATGTGTGTGTGTGTGTGTGTGTGTGTGTATATATATATATATATATATATATATATATATATATGATAGAGAGAAAAGAGAGTGGGAGAGTGGAAGAAAGAGACCGGCAGAATGAGTGTGAAGCTGAAAGATAGAGGGAGACAGAAAAATAAGTTCGTTGGCCCAGACAGTTCTAATGCTTGTAATCATTGACATCAGTCTGCAATTTTGAGTTCTTTTTTCACAACAAAATGGCACTTATTTTTATGTCTCCTATCTACATTATTTCGTTAGAATCAGGTTAACATAATTCTCTATAATTCCTACATATTTTGTCTCCATATCACCTCTTTCGATGCCAAGGTAGTTCACGGCTTGGAAATATTTCTTGTTTTTTTGAGGGGTTTTTTTTTTCCAATTTTTTTTTCAGTGATGTTTTGTTTATTATTTTCAATGTTTGTTTTATCCTTCTTTGTTTATGTGGCTCTTATTCTATTCATTCCTCCATTTTTTTTCATTTTTTTACCTTCATTTCTTTGCTCTTTCGCCGTTACCTACCTTCCTCATTCTTATGTATTTTGGGTTTTTTCTTTATTTATTTATTTGTTTTTATTTAGATTACTTATTTCTCGTCTTCATTGGCTCTTTTATTTCTTCTGTCTTTTCTTTCATTTTCTGGCTAGTCTTTTATTTCTGCCACCATTCTGAACGTTCATATTGTTCTAATATTATTTTCTTTCGTTTGAGCATTTCTTCTTTTTTCCTTCTTCCTTTCTTTCTTTTTTTTTCTTTCTTTTTCTTTCTTTCACCTGTTTTCTCTTCTTTGTTTGTCTCTTTCTTTCTTAGTCCTGTTGCCCTTACGGATACATCACGTTGAAACACCGGTTCCCGTACGACCATCGAAGTTAAGCAACGTCAGTTCTGGTCAGTACCTAGATGGGTAACTGTTTGAGAATACCCGATGCTGTAAGCTTGGATGTGAGGGTGGTGTAATGCATACGTGCTTGGGATAGGAAATCCAAGAGCCGAGTTCCAATTTCCGTTGGGTTCGTTATATTCACTTACGCTTATATACCCTTCAGAAAGGTATGAATCCACATATTCTCCCCCAACATATGGGTTAATTAATAAGCCCTGTATCACTAACCCCCCACCCAAAAAAAAAATTTCTTGCAATCTAGAAATATTTTCCGGCTTTAAATAATCCGTAGAAAACAAAACAATCATGTTGTTCTTTATTTCTTTCTCTTTTCTTTCTTTTTTATTTCTTTTATTCGTTATTTATTCATTTATTTCTTCTGCTTTCTCTTTTCTGCCTTTCTTCCTTTCTAGATACTTTCTTTCTTTCACTTCTTTTGTTTTTCTTTCTTTTCATTCTTTCTCTAATGTTTCTCTTTATTCTTTCCATCTTTCTAATTTTTTCTCTATTTTCTTTTTCCTCTCTTTCTTCTTAAATATTTTCTCTTTTCATAATTGATAGTCTCATCCATTGGTCATTTTCTTTCTTTCTTAAGTAGTTCCTATCGTTTCTTACATATTGCAAGTGTTCATTTTTATCCTTTTACTCTTATCTCCCTTTAGGCTATCCTTTTAAATATATCTTTTTTTTTTATCTTTTATTTGGCAGGAAGCATAACTATTTTCTTATTTTTTTCTTCCGCTCATTGCCTTCTTTTCTCTATCTGTAATTATTATTTTATTTCTCGATTCTCATGAAAGAATTTTTGTCGGCATTGAACTAAAATACAGCCTTTTTTATATTTTAAGAAACAAAGAAAAGAATTCTGAAATGATATGTGATATAAGTTATCATATATGGCGATGAATTTTGCACAATCTCCTTAAAGCTGAACGACAGATCTGAGATGCGATTCTACAGAAGGATGCTGAGAATAGCATGGACTTGAACATATGAGTAATTATGTAATTTTATGGAAAACGAAAATATGCTCATATATTTAAAGGACACATAATGAGAATAGAGGCCTTGGAGAATTTATCACTTCCAAGACATATTGGAAGCAAAAGGGGCAGAAGGAAACGGCGGATAACCTACATAATAAGCAGGAGAATTCTCTAATTGGGAGATTGGGGGTTTTGAAGAGCATGGAACCATCACTTGGTTGTTGTTATTACCAGGTCCACCCTGACCTGAAATGGAAGCACCTGTTTGGGTCCCAGCTATGGAAAATAGTGACACCCCCACCAAAAAAAAAACAAAATATTATGAAAGTATGAAATACTATGAAAGTATAAAGATACATTTTTATAGTAAAAATACTAACAATATATTTTTATATAAAAAACAATTACCGGCAATACATATTTATAGTAATATTACCCACAATACCTATTTATAGCAAAATTACTTACAATACATTTTTAAAGCAAAATGACTAGCAATATATTTTATCTGTAGTTGAAGGCATAAATTTGCGTTGAAAATGTATTTAGTCGAAGCCATAAAATTGTAATGAAATGATTTATATTTTCGCAGTAAATAACTCAAAGAGGTTGATTTGCCGCTGAACAAAGCAATTGTCTCAAACATGTATATGTACAAAAGCTGAGTATCATCTACCATATATTCAATTGTGAAAGCAGAATAACATATATCGTATTTTTTACACTATTTACATTATTCGGACTATTGTCCTCATCTTTGTTGCCATATTTATCACAAGGCTCCGGCCTTCTTCAGGTAGTTGGAATGTCGAACTGAACCCTTTATTTGGCTCGCTGGAGTAGACTGTTCTAGTTTCACGTGCCCTGTCTAATGGTTGTCAGTTATCTTCTGTTAATTCCCCTCTCCAAGTTCTTCACTACCGTAACCAGGTTTTGAACTCACACTCTTTGGATACTATCACTGGTAAAAAATGGTTGCTGAAGACTTTAGGTTTATAATACCCAGAAATTCAAACACAGATGTCTTCAAGGACACATGACACAATGGATAAAAGCGTTAGTTAGATCCAGTTACAGTAATGTGAGTTCAATACCTGGTTAAGGCGGGGAATTAACAGGAGATAACTGATAACTGACATCCATTAGACATGGCACATGGAACTAGAACAGTCTACCACAGCGAGCGAAATAAAGCGTTCAGTTCGATATTCCAACCACCTGAAGAAGGCCGGAGCGTACAACGGCCGAAACGTTGTGATAAATATTGCAACAAAAATGAGGGCAATAATCTGAATAATGTAAATAGTGTACATAATACCTCATCTCAGAAATATAGACAGATCATATTTTTATTATTTCAAAGCTCACAAGCAAATTAAATTTCGGCATTAAGGCGTTGATATGCCGTTGAGCAATCAAATCAATCAAACTTAACAATCTTTCGAAGTTCGCTTTTTACAAACACCTAATAACTGTTTTGATATAATTAACGAAAAGCGTTCCCTTTGACAATAACTATTGTTGCCCTTATTTATAAAGCACAAAAATTAAATATACTTTTAGTCACTCAGTAAATTCAAAAAGAATAATCAGTTGAACGCATTCTTTTATTTTGTTTTTCTAATTGTTCTTTTGAGTGGTTCCCAGAAACGCCTGTATTACTGATAGAAATAGGTGAAACGTTTGGTCCTGATCAGAGACATGACCTTTGTCTAGTGGCAGAATATAGTGCTTGATAATCAACTATTATGTTTGACAGTCTTACTTTACTCGAGCAAATGATGAATAATTGTTCTTCAGTCAAACAAGGAAGCCATTTTATATGACTAGTTTCTACCAATAGTCAGCAGAACATGAATAAAATTTAGTCTCTGATTCTGCATTGACGATACCGCTACTGCTCTGACGAACCGGTCGCCTTTTTTAAATGCATTTACAGGATTTAAGTTAGCTCATCTTAGCCTATATTCAAAACATGTAACCACACTACGTGCCCTGCCTTCATTTTACAACGTGTTGTTTAACTACCATTTCATCACAGTACCATGACATTCCCTGGTCAGACAAAGTTATTTAATCGACGGCAAAATTTCTAGAAACGATACATTCCGACACAAACGAAGAATGTTCTTTGGAATCAACGTCTAAGACATTTGGAATTACATTCCTAATCTGAAACAACATAATTTAATACAAATATTAAAACTGAATGGCAATTCGCAGCAACACATGTAGTTACTTTCTTAAAAAATAAACAAATACAAAAAAAATCTTAATTTTAATAAATATTACTCGTATAAACCCCTTGAAAAAAATATATTACAATTGTTGTAGAGTAGTTTTCACAGTGGAGGCTTGTATTTCACTAAGTCGGTCCTAAATTAGGTTCGACGTACAAAACGTTAGGAACTTGAAATAATAGTTAATGACGCAGCAATCTAGTTGGGGTGGTTGATACTTCAATGTCCGACATTGACTGACTTACACAACTCAACTGAGCGGTATTTAGTCACCCCACCCCCACGAGGGCATCATGTGGCACAATGCCGGTTTAACGTGGGATCTCCGAGCCCATGGGCTCGGCCAAAAATATGCCCTTTGAACCCGTATAAACGGGTTCAGGGTCGGTTTACCTCCCCAAAAGAGAATCCGCCCTTCGGCGTAGCCTCGTTCGGGTTCCTCTCCGCCCGAAGGCAGAGAGTTCAACCGGTCACCTTGTCGTCCGACTTCAGACTAAACTCAGACCAACTCCACTGAGCTCCACTGGCGACTGCTACTACTACTACTTATTATCTTATTATCTATTTACAATAGAAATAGGTACGTTCCGGTATAACAACAATACATTGCCTGAGGAAATAATAAAATTAGAAATCTGTAATGGAAAGGATAGGGCAAAATTATACACAGACTCCCATTCATACATACGTATATATATATGTATATATGTATATAGGTCTAATACAGGCGAGGGAGAAATAGAGAGCGTGTGGGCTCAAAAGTCAGCCATGTGCGGCTGACCCTCGGTTTTCACACCTCAGTGTGGTATTCAAACCGAGAAGGATTACAAGTCAAAATATGGCTACGGGTATTAAAAACAGTAATTAAATTAGAAATCGGAGATAGAGAAGCAAGTGTATAATTGAACATCGCACTGAGGTGTGAATGCCGAAGGTTATTCGTGCAGATATAAATTATATATATATCCCTATAGACAACGGAAATAACAGAAAAAAAACATGAGGAATTTTTTTATGCCGACTCAATGTGGAAATTTACATAGTCAAATATAAAATTTCGTTAGAATTGCAGATTTTGAATTAGAGAACGTTCCAAATTATTCTAACAATTTATAGTTTAAAAACTAAGACAAACTATATATATATATATATATATATATGTGTGTGTGTGTGTGTGTGTGTGTGTGTGTGTGTGTGCGTAATATTTATTCAAAATTATAAAATCACTGCAAAAATTACAATTTTGTTTCAACACTACTGCTGTCTTATAAAGTCACTGTGTTGATTTTGTTATAGTGATGTTATAACAAACATATGTTGTAACAAACATATGTTGTAACAAACATATGTTGTAACAAACATATGTTGTAACTCTGAATAAATATTACTTACTCTACTGGAGCACTCTTTTAAGAGAAGTGTTTTTGGTTATCGGAAATTTATACCATCTTTACTAACCTGTATATATATAT